TTAGAGGAAAACTTCCTCAAGTTGACATAGAATATCTGCAAAAAAACCTAGAGCTAACATAATATTTAATGGTGAAAAACTCAAAGCTTTCCTACTAGATCAGAAATAAGGCGAGGATATTTCCTCTCACTACTCCTTTTCAACATTGTACTGAAAGTACCAGATAATGCACTAAGCAAGAAAAGAAAATAAATTGTATATAGATTATCGAGGAAGAAATAAAATTCTCTTTATTTGTGATGATATGATTATCTATGTAAAACACATGAAAGAATTCACACATGCACACGTGTGCAATTCCAGGAGCTAATAAGTGATCATAACAAGATTGTAGGATAATATTCCAAAGGTTAATATTCCCAAGTCAGTCACTTTCTTATACACCAGCAACGAACAAGTGGAATTTGAGATTAAAAACCAACAATACCATTTACATTAGTACCTCCTAACAATGAAATACATAGGTATTATGTAACAAAATAGGCATGAGATCTATATAAGAAAAAGAACAAAACTCTGATGAAGGAAACAAAGCAAAAACTGAACGAATGGAGAGATATTCCATATACAGAAATACTTAATATTGTCAAGATGCCAGTTCTTCCCAACTTGATCTACAGATTCAGTGCAAGCCTAATCAAAATCCCAGCATGTTATCTTGTGAATATCAACAAAGATTCTAAAATTAATATGGAGAGGGAAAAGACAGAATAGCCAACACAGTATAGAAGGAGAACAAAGTTGGAGGATTGATCTCATCCAACTTTTCAAGACAAAGCTACAGTAATCAAGACAATCTGGTGCCGACTGGCTAAAGAACAGACAGGTAAATTAGTGGAAAAGAATAGACAGCCTAGAAATAAACCCACATAAATACAGTCAATGTATTTCTGACAAAAAAGCAAAGAGAAAACAACGAAGTAATGACGGTCTTCTCAACAAATGGAGCTGGAATAAGTGCACATTCATGGGAAAAAAAGTAAATCTAGACACAGTTCTTACACTCTTCAAAAAATTAACTCAAAAAGCATCATAGGCCAAAATGTAAAAATGCAAAACAATGAAACCCCTAGGAGATAACACAGAAGAAAACCTAGATAACCTTGGGTATAGTGATGAATTTTTAGATACAACATCAAAGGCATGATCCATGAAAGAAAATTATTAATACACTGGGTTTCATTAAAAGTAAAAGCTTCTGCTCTGCAAAAGACAATGCGAAGAGGAAAAGAGAAAATATTTGCAAAAGACACATCTGATAAAAGATTATTATCCAAAATATACACAGAACTCTTAAAACTCAACAATAAGCCGGGCTCGGTGGCTCAGCCTGTAATCCCGCGCCTTTGGGAGGCTGTGAGTGGACTGCCTGAGCCCGCGGGTTCGAGACTCGCCTGGGCAGCGAGGCCTCATCTCTACAATAAATCAAAAAATCAGCCGGGCGTGGTAGCGCATGCCTGTAATTCTGGCTACTTGGAAGGTTGAGGCGGAAGGATCGCCGGAGACCAGCAGGCGAGGCTGCAGTGGCCGGGAGCGGCCGCTGCACTCCAGTCTGGGCGACCGAGTGAGACTCCGACTCAAAACAAAAACAAAAACAAAAACCTCAACAATAAGAAAACAAACAACCTAATTAAGAAATGGGCCAAAGACCTTAACAGATACCTCACCAAAGAAGATAAACAGATGTCAAATAAGTAAATGAAAAAACGTTCTACCTCATATGTTATCAACGAAATGCAAATAAATACAGCAATGAAATATCCTGTATACCTATTGAATGGTCAAAATCTAGACCACTGACAACACCAACTGCTAGCAGGATGTAGACCAACAGGAACTCTCATTCAACACGAACTCTCATTCATTGCTGGTGGGATGTAAAATGGTAAAGACAGTTTGGTGGTTTCTTACAAAACTAAATATACGCTTACCATATGATCCAGCAATAGTGCTCCTTGGCGTTTACCCAAAGGAGTTGAAAATTTATGTCCATACAAAAACCTGTACATGGGTGTTAATAGCAGCTTATTCATAATTGCCAAAACTTGGAAGCAACCAAGATGTCCTTCAGTAGGTGAATCGATAAATAAACTGTGGTACATCCAGACAATGGAATATTATTCAGCACTAAAAAGAAATGAGCTATCAAGCCATGAAAAGACATAGATGAATCTTAAATGCATATTACTAAATGAAAAAAAGCCTGCCTAAAAAGCTACAAACTGTATGATTCCAACTTTATGAAATTCTGGAAAAGGCAACACTAAGGAGACAATAAAAAGGTCAATGGTTGGCAGGGATTAGGAGAAGGGGAAGGACACATAGGTGGAGCACAAAGGATTTTTAGGGCAATGAATCTCCTCTGTATACTATGGATACATGCCATGCCATTAGCCATTTGTCCAAACCCACAGAATGTACACCAAGAGTGAGCCATAACATAAACTATGAACTTTAGGTGATATGATGTCTCAAAGTTGGTTCATCAATTTAACGAATGTACCAGTCTGGGGGAGGAGATTGATAATGGGAGATGCTATAAATGCATGCAGGCAGGATGACAAAGAAGAAATCTACATACTTTCCTCTTAATTTTGCTATAAACCTAATCTTCTCTAAAAAAAAAAAAAAAAAGAAAGAAAAAGAAAAGAAGAACACATGGAGAATATTACTTCTGGCATAGTTAATATTTAAAACACCTGTCTTCTAAACTTGGAAAAATTGAATAAATGAGCAGAAACAGTTCCTTCTTAAGAAAAGTTTGACAGCTCAGGTTTTAAAAGATTATGAATGAATGTAACTGATACTTTGACAGACAACTGAAATTGGAAACAAATTTCTGCATACAGGGAACAAAGCATCAATAGATTTTGCTGGTGTATTGACTTACACTATGTGTTTAAAATGTTAGCTAAGAGTGGAGAAGGGTATGCATTTTGCATATGTATATATGCAATTATCACCTGAGATGCCTCAAGAATAATTACTTAGAAAATATATTATTTGCTTAATCTGGTAGCCATTAAATTATTTGATGAACGACTAATTGAAGCATTTACTCTCTATTGAAACTAGTATTAACGAAGGAGCTTTTAAAAAGGCAATAAAGGAAAGAAAATGTAACAAAAATATTTAACAGAATTTAACATATGTTCAATTCTTAGTTATGATTCTCATGGAAATGTAATTGCTACAATATTTCCTAAAGTGATGCACTATGAAAAAACCTAAATACACCATAATTAAGAAACTACAATACCATAATCCTAATTTGGGTGTTGATAAAAAGAATATGGAGATCACTTCTAATTTCTAACAGTGACAGAATTCAAGGAGTAATAAACACATTATTAAAGTTTAGTGTAACATAAAAAAATCTGCCTCAAAATAAAATTGGATTTCAAAATAGCAAAATATATTGCATGGCAGTCTTTTCTCCTAATGTACTATAAAATGATTCACCAGCTAATTCTGGATAGGCAAAATAATAATAATGATGGTAATGATAATAATAATAGTGAAGTGGAAACAGGAAAAAAATTTTTCATGATGAAGAAACATAATGAATCCAGAGTAAGCACACTGAATTGGGAAGGTTTTCTAAACACTATTCTGTGATATCAAAACATTATTCCAGAGAGCATTAACCCAAATAATGAAAGACTAAATTTTTTTTTTAAAAAGACACAGCTCCTTTGATAGAATGGGATAATAGTAGGATGATCATATTAAATAAATACATATTTTTGTCATCTTGAAAGTAGAAAGTGAAAGAACTGAAATATGGCAGAGGCATCAAGATGAAGAGCTTTAATGGCCTGAAGGAAAGTATTTTTGATGAAGAAAATCTGATATGACTAGAGATTTAGAAAAAAGAATTGTGTTCCAGCAATTATAATATTTAGAAAATTAGATATTTAGAATAAAGAAGTGGAATTATCAAATAACAAATGAATAGAATACAAACAGGAAAAAAATAGCAATGCTCTCCAAGAAAGAAAACTTGAGATATTTTTCAAAAACACTTTATGAAGTTTAATTTATAAACCATAAAACATGGAATATATTTTTGCAGTCTTAGTAAGTTGATATATTGTTTTCCCTTAGTCCAAAAAAAAGAAGAGAAAAATAGTTATAGAGTTTTTCAAAAGCAGTATACTTATATAGGCATGCTAACTCACACTCTAAACAAAAATAGCTGAACAAAAAATTGGTATCAGTCATTAATGCAACTGTGGTACATTTTAAATATAATAGATCGTATTTTGAACATTTGTATAGCTAATCCTAATCCTAAATTGTACCCCACATCTTAAAAAAAAATTAAAAACAAAAAAATAGATCATATTTTGTTCAGAGTAAAATTAGTCATAATTGTGAAAGTTTTTAGGCTAAACTTCAAGAGGGATAGAATAAAAATATTTTTTAATATTAGGGGTATTACATATAGGTATATTTGTCAGAATTTATAGAAAATATATCTGCTAATCTAAAGTGTTAGATTTCTAACCACAAAATGAAGCAATATTTAAAACTACAATGCTATAATTTCAATGCATAACTGTACATGATTCTTAATATAAAAATAATTTTAACCTTTCAAAAAGTCCTACTCAAATATTTGACATAATTAAGCATGGTGGTGATGTCAAAAATATTTTGTCTTTTTTTCACAGTGCTAGTGCAGTATAAAGACATTTTAATTATACAATAACTCCTCCAATGTATTATAAAATCCTCATTATTTAGTTGTTTTAAAATAGAAAACTTACAGACATCTACTTATTTAGCATATTTCAAGACTATTCAAGTTGATAATTGGTACATGTGTTCCAGCAATTATAATTCTTCAGGGGTTTAAATTACCATAGGTTGCTATGAGGTTTTTTTGGAGGATGAGAAGGTTAGTTATTTCTTTCTTTTAAAATTAATTAATTATTATGTAAACAGCAATGAACTGCACTCTTTTTCATACTATAAAATAGTTCTAAAATTCTTACCTGATACTACACCAATTCCATCGTCACAGTCGTAGTCAGAGACTTCACTATCACTTATTCTCTTTGACCCTATGAAGCAAACAACAGCAATAATTAAAATTTCTAATTATTTAAGAAAAAAAATCCCTCAGTAAACAAATGAAAGGATTTTGAAATAAATCGCTTGAGAATAAAAAATATAGAGAGAAGAAAAGTCATTATGAACTCACCGACACTTATTTTCATACACATTTCATGATGTACTAATATGAGTAATAAGGAGTCAATGATTTACACACGAATTATTCTGGAGAAAAATAAGATAAAGGTCCAAAATGGTTTCAAGCTTAAAATAACACTAAGTACTAAATAATGTGTGTAAATTATTTGACACTGAGTGATAAAATCTTGAGCAAAATAAGTAAGTTAATTTTAGATGCTTATGCACAAAGGCACACGTCTGAGTAAATTTCAAACACAATGTGTTGTTTTCAAAAGCATTAGCGCATCTTTTTCTAAAATGCATGACTAATGGACATACTTAATTTCTTATTTTTCATGCTCATGGATAGAAAGTGTAAGCCAGAAAAGTAACTCACTTAAAGCATCCTAAACCTCCTTTTTTTTTTAAACATTTAGTCTGGCTACTTTATTGCTTTGAGAAGAGAATAAGAAATAAATCATCCACAAAACTAATACATTTGAATTATGAATTGTGCTATGTCTTCAAGAAATAGCCTAAGAAGAGCACTATGGGTTATTACAATTCAAGAATACTGTGTGTGTAATCCTTTACAAAACAAACCAATAACAAATTTTTAAATTATTAATCCTACTATGGCAAAAAGATCATAAAATTGAATCAAATAGAGTTTTGATGGCTACAGCAGATTACATCACATATAATTATAAAATATATCACATATAGAGATAAACATGTTGTCTTTGTTTTTTAAAATCTTTTTTCACTTATATGTGTTACAGGAATGGACACACCCTACATAATAGAGTTCTTTATTAAAGCATTTTTCCCTTTTTGGAATCAGAAAACATTTCATGATAAATGAAGATAGTGCTATTATTTTTTTAAAATGACTTCCTCTTCTTTCTCTTCTTACAATATACATTATTCATTAAATAGATGGAACTCAGTTTTTTCAGAAAATAAGCATTTTCCTGTATGGTTTATAAAACACTGAGAACACACATTGTACAATCTGTCTTAGGTAGAGATTAAAACGTCCCAGGATTGCTCTCCAATATTTGCAAAGATATAGGGCACTCTTAGAAATGCCCTATAATTTTTTTCATTCGTTTGTTTTAATCCCTGCCATTTAAGGGGAGGGAGAGTCCCTATTGTCAGAAACTGCAGTTTTCATTTTCTCCTGGAAATAATTAGAACAAACTATCCATTTTAATCATGTGGTCCCATCAGATGAACTTCTACTGCTATTTTCCTTCCAAATGCTTCTGTTATAAAGCTTTAGACATGATCAAAGCTTTTTATCCCACTTGATAGTAAAACTAGAATTATCTGACAACATCTCAAAATACCGGGCACAAAAGGATTTATCATACATCCTAAATGGACTTGGAACAGGAGAGGGATCACACAGGTGAAGGAAGCTGTTGAGAGAATTGCTACCCAGCTTGTAATACAGTTTCATCCTATAAATACTCAAGGACAGGGTGATAATTAGTATACAATGCCAGGTACACTACAGAAAAGATGACAAACTTTTGGTATTGGTCAAAAATCAGATAAGAATGACACCAACAAAAGATGAAGTTTATTTTATCAGCCTTAGTGAGCTGTCGTGTGTGTGTGTGTGTGTGTGTGTGTGTGTGTGTGTGTGCATGCGCGCACGCCTGTCCAAGAGATGGTTTGGCATATGTGGTTTGTAAACAATGCTTTATTTCAAATCTTATTTATTTCCATACGGAGATTTTATCTGTTATGGTATTAATCTAAAAAGGTTAAATAGATTGCAATTATGGTCACTCTAATTGTTTTTTGACATTCTAATGAATGCAAGTTCTTGGCTTTAATGTCATTTAATATATCAATATATTATTTTAAAATTACTGATTGCAAGTGAGATTCTGATTCAAAAATAAAAAAAATAAAATTAGTGTTTTCAGTGTCTTGCTCAAGAAAACTTCCGTGGCTTATGAACAGAAAGATCGTCTCTCATATTTTCTGAAATTTTAAAAATGTTGCTTTTGGCATTTACATCCTCATCCATGTTGAATAGACTTTGTGTTTAGTGTGCTTGATAAGCAAGCAATTTCACTTTTTCTATAAGGATAGCACATATCTCATCATTGCTTATTTAATATTTCCACTTATCCCAAATGATCTGTGATGCCAGCTCTGTCACAAATAAATGTATCCTATCTACAAGGATCGAATGCGATTCAAATAGAAATCCCTATAGGATGGTCTAGTGCTCTATATTTTTTCCTATGTACGGGCTATCTATTGATAAAACAATAATTCATTGTCTTTGTTACTATAATGTTAGATATTGAAAAGAAAATTCATCCACCTCATTTTTTATATCTTGGCTATTGGCCCTTTGCTCTTTCAAATAAATTTTAGATTATCAACTTGCACAAAGCATCCAATTAGGACTTTTATTTGAATTGCATTGAATCAATACATTAATTTAGGAACAATTGGCATGTTTTACAGAATAGTATCCACGTACATGGCATTTTCTCTACATACACTCTCTTTAAAGTCTTTCCATAGAATTTTACATTTCTGCCACTCAAATTTTCCACATTTGTTGTATACAAAGGATGTCCCCTTTGTATTTTATAATTTTGACTGCTATTATACTGTTAAAAATCATATTTTAGAACCTAATTGCTCAGATACAGAAAAGCAATTCCTCATTTTGTTATGAGTAAAGCATTAATCAACCATCTACTTAATGATTTTCTTGCTCTTCTTTTTATTTCTAACAAGGTGATTACGCTTTAATTTGGCTTTTTTTCTCCGTAGACAACTGCTTTTCCCAATCCTTAAGTGTTTTTTTTTCTTTTTTTCTATCTTGTGTTGATAAAATGGACAAAATGTTTATTACAACAGAAGTTTCTGTTTTTTAAGATTTTCAAATGTAGAGGTATAATTCATAATTTTTATAATTAATATTGGAGAATATAACCTGTATTATGTTAATTCTTTAAAATTTGTCAAAAAATGAACTATGAAATAGCACATTAATAACTCTTATAAATGTTTTTCATGATTGTAACAGAGGAATGTGAATTCATGAATTGTTAGGTGCAGAGTTCTTTATTTGACCATGAGATTAAGCCTGGTAATTATGTTGTTTGATTCTTTTGTAACTCCCCTAAATTTTTTCTGGCTTGACCTATCAATGATGGAGAGAAAATAATATTACATTAAAAATTCCTTCAATTTTAGCCAGCTTGTTAACTTTTCTCCCCAGTGTTACTGTATATTGAAGTTATTTTATTTAATACATGCAAGTTGAAAAATTTTAATTAATCCCCATTTATGATAGACTGTGTCGGCAAACTAGTAAGAAAGGAACTTCCTCAAATGGATAAAGGGCATCTATTAAAAACCTACAGCTAACATCACACTTAATTATGATATATTGAATGCTTTTGCCCTAAGAGAAAGCACAAGCAAAGGATGTTCCTTCTGAGGATGAACCTTTCTTCAACACTGTACTACTATGCCCTAAACAGAACTAGATAGCAAGGAAAAGATATGAAAGACAAACAGATCAGAAAGCAAGAAATAACATGAGCATGTAAATAAAAAATCCTAAAGAAGCTATACAAAACTTATTAAGACTAATAAGTGAATTTAGCAAGACTGCAATACATAGACAATATAAAAGTAAATTATACTTCTTAGAGAATAGCAATGTATAATAGGAAAACACAACTTCAAAACCAACCTCAGTTACAAGAATTTCCAAAATCATGAAATACTTAGGAACACATTTAAAACAAAAGGTACAAAACATGTATACCCCCAAACACTGCTATATTAGTTTCTTGGGGATGCCAGAATCAAGGTGTCAGCAAGTGCATACTCTTTGATGGCTCTAACAGAGAATCCTTCCTTGCCTCTGCTAGCTTCTAGTCAGGAATCCCTGGCATTCCTTTTCTTGCAGATACATCATTCCAGTCACATGGGCTTCTTCTCCCTGTATGTCTTCATATTGTCTTCCTCTGTGCATGTCTCTCTCCCTCCAAATTTTGTCTTTTTACAAGGACACCAGTCATATTGGATTAGGGCCCACCCAAATGGCCTCAGTTTTAACTTGATTATCTCTGCAAAACTTCTATTTACAAATGCGTTCACATCCTGAGGTAGTTCAGGGGATTAGGACTTCAACATATTTTTGGGGGGGATACAATTCATGCCAAACTGTGAACAAGTTCAAGATTATGTAAAGAGACGGAGAAGATTTTTCTGCAAAATTGGAAGACAAAGATATTGAAATAACATTTTCAGGATGCTGAGAGAAAATAAAAGTCATTACATATTTAGGTAAACTTTCCAACAGAAATAAAGAAGAAACAAAGATACATTCAGAAAAAGCCTGTTTTCAATTATTCACTGAACGAACTTCTAAAGAAATGTACCTCAAAAATAAAGAAATTTATCTTAGAAAGGATAAAATGCAAAAAGAAAAAGTGGTAAAAATTCAGGAAATCTAAAAAACCCTGAATGAATAAAATAACAATAATTATAAGAATGATTAATTTGGAGGCAGAGGTAAAATCTGATAGCAATATGTTAGACGATGGGGAGAAGGTGTGAGAGACTGTAAAATTTTTATGTAATTTAAGAGAAAAGTTGTACATATTAACATTACTCTTTTAAGTATGTATGTTAATATTTCAAAAACAATTATTAAAAATAGAGATGTAAAATAAAAAGCAGAGTGCACAAAATAGTGACGTGTCCCTATTTATGTTAGAAATAAAGAAAAAAGTGATCTGTATGCATTTGTCTTCATGTGCATAAAATATCAGCAAAAATACAGAAATTAGTAACAGTGGTCTATCACAGAAAGAAAACTAAATGCTTG